TGAGGAGGCAAACTAAGATAGAATGGGAGTGGATTTGCCCAATATAACAAATGTGTGTACATGTTAAAATTGCAGCCCTCGGGCTGGGAATGCCCAGCCGCTTGCCTCAGCCATAGGGCTTGTGCTTTTCCTTCCCTGCAATTCTGATTCAAAGGGCTATTATTAGCCCTTTTGACCACTGCCGTCTCCCCCCACCCCACCTCAGAACTACTAATCTTTTCCTGTGGATCCACTATCTCTCCTGATCCTCCCTGCTCCTCCCCCAACCCCAGTTTGCTTAAATCAAGTTCCCAGCATGGCTTCTGGCACCAGCAAACGTGTGCACATGCCATGCCCAATCTATGATCATGCAGCTTAAAATAAGAGTCCACAACAATATTATTAAGTATTCTACTATAAAATCAGTTTATGAAACTGACATCTGGATATGGCAAATATAATTTTATGCAATAAGTACTACATTAGTGGATGTACAATAGCTCTAGTACTAAAATGGCTCCAGTAAGCTAAAAAAATGCTGAATCGGAACTTCAAGTGTAGAAATTAAGGTCACATATTGCAGTGAATAACCAAGATAATCAATAAACTTGTGAGTGTACAGTAGCAGACCCCTGCATCACAAATATTTATGGATCCCACTACATACGAGTGGTCAGCACAGAGAACCATGAACTTGTTTACAGAAAACCAAGTGAGAATTTGACAAGAAATCTTTGTTAAGTATTTATCATAACTTTTTCTTTGGCTATAGGGTTTAAAGCAGATTTCCTTGTTCCATTCCTGCTCATAACAGTATTCAAAGTGGGAGACTCAGTAAGAAATTACAGATCATGGGTATAGCCAAAAACTCTTTTATAGGCAAATTATCCCCCACCCCCAGTTCCCTATAGAATCTTATTCGGCCTTTTTGTCTCAATATTTTCTTACCATACCCCAGTTTCTCTATCCCATGGTCTTGCTTCAGAGGACTTGATAACCCAAGAACATCTAGTATCTCTGTGTCTGTACCAGCATTCCCTCTAAGCTGCATGGTGTGTGCAACTGAGCAGGCATGCCTGACAGCGCAGCATGTGCGCGCCTGCACGGCTGTGCGCACCACACAGCTTAGAGGGAACGCTGGTCTGTACTTTACAAATCTGCTTAATCTGAGTCTTCACCATCACTGTGCTTCTATAGCTGAAGGCACAGTTTGGCTTTTACTATATGGAAAGAATTAAATTATACTATCATCAAATCAGAGAGTTGTGATTTACATAACATGGACATTTTTTTGTTTTGTTTTCATACTGGAAGGTGGTTTTCAGTTGCCGTCAGAAACATCCTTCCAAAATATGCTTCCAAAAACATGCAGGTACTTAATGGATAGCTAAACTGCAAGGCTTTTAAAACATGTTTTCAAGCCCTAGAACATCCTTTAAGCTGTCCATCCCTATTGCTCTGAATAATGACACAGCTTCCTCCCTTATGTTTTGGGGAGATACAAAGACCAAATACTTACAGATATTTTTTAGCCCTTTAACACTAAGTATATATGTTGACACTATTTCTCCCTTCCTCTGTGCAAACATACTTAAATACATTCTAGAAATGTTGGTCTCAGTCTATGCCAGGCTTTGACATTTCAGAAAAGTTTAGGATAAGACATAGGAAAAAAAGTTGTTCTTGCTTTAAGTCTACATTTTCATAGCAGGTTGTGTCTGGACCTTCTACACAACATGCAGAAAGTTTCCCCTACAGCAATGATTTTATCATCTGTTTGGCTGATGCTATCTGATGGCTTAAAATTTTAAACTCAAAGCAACAAAGCAAAATATCTACTTTCAAGTGACTTTGCTAAATACAGTAGAGATTAACATCTTTGATTGTCCTAGGGTATGTGCATACATTTCCCATACCCATTCTATGATCATGAGGCTGTAAAATGTTTCTGAAATATATTAAGTTGTATAATGGTGGCTTGCCCCATACTCATGGAGCTGTAATCGGCTTCTTTGTATATAGCATGGAGAAGATATCATTCTTGTAAGGTTTTAGCTACCACTGCTGCCAATATACCTAATTTGAAAGTGACAGCTAAACTACTGTGCTGAGGACTGATCCCAGAGCATATAGGTAGTTGGGTGAATAATTCACAAAATAATTGTTAATTTAGTGAGCTTTCTTCATTTCCTCAGTTCATGAGTTCTCCAAAAGCAAATTGTGATTTCCTCAACATTATTCTTCATATTTATTCAACAAGTATTGTTTTATATTATTTTACTCTAGGATTGATCATGGATATTCAAAATGTAAGCCTATTAGTGATGGGTCAGATAGACTGAATCATACCATTTTTCCCTTTAAATGTATGAACAGAAGCAGGACCAAGACAAATACTTGTGTTTTAAATTAAAAATCAATTCTTGCAAATGCCTGTGCGTGCAACTTTTAGATTTCCTTTTCTTAAACTTCAGAGAAGTAAAACATGCTTGCTCAAATGTTTATACAAGTCTCACACAAAAAGGGTATGAGCTTGACATGAACAAGGTATCTTAAAATATGTTCACTCGTCTGTAAAGTCAAAGGAAGAGAAAAAATGGTTTGTGTTTAAAAAAATGAATTACCTTTGTCCTTATTCAACAATGTAAGTGCTGATGTACTGTCTTTACTCTCATACCATATACATCCTTTTTCCAGAAATTTGCTTTCCAAAATTGGTGTGTATGTCCTAAGCAGGAAGCTGATGTTCTGCCCAGAATAGAAACACGGAGGTGCTATAAAAGGCTAGTGCTTCTTTTTCTCCCCTGTCCCCCAGCCAGCCCCATGAAGGGAAGGAGGGAAGGGCAGAGTTCAGTTTTCAGCAACAGCTACAATTTTAACCTTTTCACAGGCACTGTGAAATTGACAGTAACTTTTAGCTGAGCAGGAAAGGGAAGGTGAGTGAGCTGAAAATTAGGCTCTTTCTCTGCTCCTTGCGTCCACAACTCTAGAAATATTTTTTTTTCTTTAGTCTGCCTACCCCAAAACAAGGCATATGCCTTATTTGGGGATGTGTGAAAATTAATGTGAACAAAGATATTTTTGACAGAATCTTTGATGTTGTAAATATACAGGCGCCATGGAATCATTTACACTTTAGATTACGTCTAGCAATTCAATTTATCTCAGCGTGGCATTGGGTATTTTGGTGCTTCTTCCACACGGCTTAAAAATCTTTAATGGAAGTGCCTAACTATTTCTTAACACCATTCAAGATTATACTGACAGCTTTAAAACATAACGCTCGCATTTGGAGGGACAGAACTCCAATCTTGCATCCTAAGCGATAAGGCTGAAAATTCAGGATCTATATTCTCAGTTCAGTATAATCTGTGGTTCATCTTATTTGAGATTTCATTTACCCAAGTTCTTGTATCATGTGAATGTTTACAGGACCAATGGAGAAAAATGTGTGTGCATCTTAGGGTCTAAAGTGAGTAATTATGAACTGGGCATGTCTACACATGCATTAATTTCCTTTAGTTAATGTGCATTAAATCTAGTACCTCCATCATGAAGTACTAGGAAAATGTGCATTAGCCTGTCTTAATGGTCATAAACTAAAGAGCATGGGGTGCCTATACACAAGCAGGGAGAATGCTCCGATGCACTAGAATTTGAGCGCATAGGAGCAGACTCAGTTAATCAAGTCTGTTGGAACGTGGCAATTACCGTGCTCCAGCAGCCTCCCACAGTTGATGAGCTTTAGATAAACACCCCTGCCATCATTTTGAAGTGCAGGGACGCTGATACATGAGACATTCCAGGTGCTTTAATTAGAGTGGCTCTCAAACATTAAAATAGGCTAATGTGTATTAAAGTACATGTATAGACGCACCCACTATTGAGAAATATAGTGACAGACTACTAATATCCAAAAGACTAGACTGGGGTAATGGAGAAAGTTAATGTTTCCTTTTTGCTTCATGGAGATCTCCTCCATCTAGTTTTTATTCATCACCCTCTATAATTGTAGTAATTTACCTTATACTTCTCCAGGGTTGGGGGAAGAGGGGCTGGGGGG